AAATACTAATTAATTAAGAACAATTTAAATATGATTTTGTATAATAAATGATGTTTTTGGCATATAAAACATTATGTGATGCATAACGATAAGTTCGGGTGTTAACACCCGAGACTAGGCCGCTGTTTGCTATTAAATATTATGTTGAATGATCATTATGATGAAAAATTATTATGGATAATTATGAATGATAAACCTACTGATTAAAATGATTATTGATGATTAAGTCATGATTAAAAAAAATGAATTAATGGTGATTATGAAAACAGTGTATATTGTTAAGGATATCTAGAAGAACTCTAAAATATACCCACTTGTATATTGATGATGATTGTTAAGGATATCTAGAAGAACTCTAAGATATACCTACTTGACAAATTCATATTTCGGGTTAAAACGTACGTACGGGATCCAGACCGGATATCACCCACCTGACAAATCATTGTTCGGTTGGTACGTAATCCACATGACCCATAGGGTGGATTATCGATTCTTGTGTTCTGCAATAAACTATTTATAGTTTAAGGGCCTGGTTAGAAATGTTGCCTTAGAATAGGAATAGCTAAGAGCTTGTTATAAAATGATTTGGCCTTAGATTAAGAATAATTTAAGAGCATGGTTGAGATATTGAATATCAAATAACTTGGAATAAAATATTGAGAATATCATGAATGTTTGAATCATATACTGTGTGCATGATATCAAATGGTTGATTATGAATTGAGATTCAATTTATTTGGATGTTCGACGCTTTAGATATGCTTACTCAGCTTCATCGCTGAGCGTGTAGTATGTTTTATTTGCTACACGTAGGTAGACAGAATGAGTGAATGGCATGTTCTTGGCAGCGGAAGGGGCGAGACAGTCGTGGTGGATTTATTGAGAAAATAAATGATTATGTTATTATGAATCCTGTTTAAAAATCCCTTCCGCATTAAACACTCCGTATTTACTACAATTATGTTTGGAATTTCATAAATGATGAATAAAGTTATTTGAAATTTTTAAATTATACGATTACCAAGTTAATACTTTAGTTCGGAAAGGGTTGTAAACCTGGACGGATTAGGGTGTTACAATTTTTGTACCCCGGCCCCCACCCTGGCCGTAAGTGTCCGCTCATAGGATTGTAGACTGGCCCCACAAACCAACACAAGTCTTTCCCGCACACTTTGTCCTCACTCGTGCGCGCCCAAGGAAAACTTCCCAGGGGTCACCCATCCTAAAATTGCTCCAGGTCAAGCACGCTTAACCTTGGAGTTTCTAGGTGATGAGCTCTCGAAAAGAAGATGCACCTTGTTGGTATAAGTAGTACTATCAATCCTTTTGAGCTCTTCCCATTCCCATCTTGATACGGGGTATTACAGATCGTGCGGCGAGTAGAATCTTTTGCAGACGACTTAAATACGCAACAAGGTATTGTAAGCGGCAGAGTGGCCTTGCTGCCACGATCCTCTGAGATTCAGCCCTTTGTTACTTTGATTCCCCCCAGCCGGATCCAAACCCCCTCTAAACTTTTTTCGAGTTAATCGCGAAAGCTGTTTCTTCAAAGCAGTCCCCAAGGGAAATGCAAAGGCGTACGCTTGGTAAAGTGCGGATGAAAGAACCCCACAAGCCGGCCTAGGAATGAGGAGTGAATGGGCTGAACAAAAAGCGGGCCATATGCCCGGAAACAATAAAACTGCAAAATGGCGGCCTAAACGAGCGAATTTGAGGTGATAACTGAAGTCCGATGGGCTCCGCCCGATCGGCCCCCTGTGCGTCTCGTTGAGTCCTTTCCGGAAAGTGGTCGCACGCTGAAAACGGACACTCCTAGCAAAAGTTATGCCCAAAAATTGGACACCCCAAGGGGCTACTTCCCCAAAAGTTTGCTAGTGTGTTTTGCAAATTTGTATGATCCAAGAATGNTAGGCCGTGTGTTACCTCATGCGCACCCTTGTGACATCGGGGGGCATGATAATGTTTTCACATGCTCGCTCGGGGAATGCCGGCTATCGTTGCATCATGTAGCGGGGGGGCATGGTCGGTGAAGGTTTTTCCGGTCGGCTAAAAAAAGGCTTGGTTCTTGCTCTTTTCCGTTTGTTTTTTCGGCGTTTGCAAAGCAAAAAGCCATTAAAAATAGTTCATATATCTTTTGTAGCCGGAAATAAAATTGTGGGTGGCATGAATTTTGTTTTTCACATGTGGTTTTTGAAGTGTGGGCTTTCGGAGAACCACTGCTTTTGCCGTTTTGGCTATTGCTTTTTCGTCGCCCCAAATGTTTGTTAGTGTGTTTTGCATATCATTATGATCTAAGAATGATGTTTGGTTACGGGCTGTGACGAGGAATTGGCTTGGTGTTTGAATTTGGGGCCTGTTTGGTGAGTGTTACTCTACAGCAAAATCGTATCTACTGCTGTAACTTGGGTTTATGTTTTTTAAGCATATATAGGGGGGGTATGGTCCCTGAAGGATTTTTCGGTCGGTTTTAAAAGGCTTGGTTTTTGCCCTTGCTAGGCCCTGCGTTAGTGTCCCACCCACTAACAACAAGAACAGGCGTCAGAGCTAATGCAGTTTGAGTTGGCGGTGGGAATCGGTGTTGGGCATCGGTTTGTTGGCCCCCGAAATGCTGGTTGTTGGGATGCCGGCATTTCAAGCGAGGATGATTAGGATGTCCTTGTGGGGCTGACACTCCGAGGTCGGATTTCGATGTGCCGATATTAGGTTGGATTTCGGTTAGCCAAATTTCTTTAATTTGGCTCGTTGTGCCGATGTTAGGTGTGTCGGCCCTGCTTTAGCTCCTTCCCATCCGGCGTTTGGTTCTTCCATTACACCCAGCCAGGTGGATGAACCAGTCGGTGTGGCTAAAGCAGTCAGTTTTATGGTGGCTCTAAGTGGGTGGGACGGTTGGCTACGGTTTTGTTGGCTTTGAAATGCCGGTTGTTGGGATGCGGGCATTTCGAACGGGGATGGTTGGCTATTTCGTCCTCGCTGAGTCGACTCTCGGAAGGTTGGATTTCGGTTAGCCAAATTTCTTTAATTTGGCTTTGCCGATGTTAGGTGTGTCGGCCCTGCACTAGCTCCTACCCTTCCGGCGTTTGGTTCTTCCATTCCACCCACCCAGGTGGAAGGACCAGGCGTCGGGGGCTAATGCAGTCGGTTTTTTGGTGGCTCTAAGTGGGTGGGACGGTTGGCTACGGTTTTGTTGGCCTTCGAAATGCCGGTTGTTGGGATACCTGCATTTCGAACGGGGATGGTTGGCCAGTTCGTCCTCGCTGAGACGACTCACGGATGGTTGGATTTCGGTTTGCCAAATTTTGTTAATTTGGCTCGATGTGCCGATGTTAGGTGTGTTGGCCCTGCTTTAGTTCCTTCCCATTCGGCGTTTGGTTCTTCCATTGCACCCACCCAGGTGGAAGGACAAGGCGTCGGGGGCTAATGCAGCCGGTTTTAGGTTGGCTCTAAGTGGGTGGGACGGTTGGCTACGGTTTTCTTCGGTCTTGCATGGCACTCATCGACGCGACTGTCATGGGCACCAGGCATTAGCTGGTGGGCTGACTGCTGAGTTAAAAACTTGGCCTTTGGTTTGTTGGCGGGTTGTGCGGTGTATATGAAGTTTGCGATGCGTAATTGTGTGTGAGATGTATTTGGTTTTCATGGTCCGGTTTGATCCTTGTTGTAGCAGCGAAAACTTTCCGTGAAAGCCTTTTCAATATGGTGGGTTCCGCCTTTGTCTGCAATGGTTTCCTTTGTTCTGTACCCTTTCGGTGGCATCCTTACCTTCCAACTGCTGAGTTCTGTCGTGTGCCTGCTCGTGTGGGAACCAAAGGGTTGGCATTCGATTGACGCCATGGCACCGCTTGTGGTACACTATCTGTTGTCTCTTTTCCGGAAAGTTTTGGCCCATTGGTTGTTGTTGAGTACTTGGGTTTGGTACACTAACGGGCACTGGTTAAGAATTCTCTGTTAGCCTAACTCTGCCCATTAAGTATTTTGTACCAGGGTTCCCTGGTTCATTATTGGCTTCACCTTCACTTCTGTGATTGTGTTTCCATCCGTATGACCGCCTATGATGTGTTGAGTTCGCTTTCGGTTTTGGCGTGTCAAGGTGCATTGAGGAATGATACCTGGTTGATCGTGCCATTAGTCATATGCTTGTCTCAAAGGTTAAGCCATGCATGTGTAAGTATGAATAAATTCAGACTGTGAAACTGCGAATGGCTCATTAAATCAGTAATAGTTTGTTTGATGGTACCTACTACTCGGATAACCGTAGTAAATCTAGAGCTAATACGTGCAACAAGTCCCAACTCTTGGAAGGGATGCATTTATTAGATAAAAGGTCAATGCGGGTTTTTCCCGTTTTTACGATGATTCATGATAACTTGACGGATCGCAAGGCCATAGNAAGGTTAAGCCATGCATGTGTAAGTATGAACAAATTCAGACTGTGAAACTGCGAATGGCTCATTAAATCAGTAATAGTTTGTTTGATGGTACCTACTACTCGGATAACCGTAGTAAATCTAGAGCTAATACGTGCAACAAGTCCCAACTCTTGGAAGGGATGCATTTATTAGATAAAAGGTCAATGCGGGTTTTTCCCGTTTTTACGATGATTCATGATAACTTGACGGACCGCAAGGCCATAGTGCTGGCGACGCATCATTCAAATTTTTGCCCTATCAACTTTCGATGGTAGGATAGTGGCCTACCATGGTGGTGACGGGTGACGGAGAATAGGAGTGGACCCTGCGGCTTAATTTGACTCAACACGGGGAAACTTACCAGGTCCAGACATAGTAAGGATTGACAGATTGAGAGCTCTTTCAACGGGTAACATGTAAATTATTATTACCCAAATCAAACGAATACAAAGTGTCAACAGCTTAACCACAAGGTGGTTACTTGCTTAAGTTACAGCTATACAGAAAAGAAATTACAACTCAAGTGTAACACATACAAATACAACAACACTAACAAATACAAGTACGATCTAACTAAGACCAAGATTAGGAGGTTGTCTTAACACGAGACAAACGTCTCCATTACATCAAACACAATTTAACACAAGTGTACACCAGCAACAATCCAGAAGAGGTGGGCTAGGCAAAGACCATTCCATTCCCCTTGCAAAACCAAGGCGTGTTCATAAAATCTAAAGCTTCCAGCGAGAAATAGAAAAGAAGCATCAGGCCCTGATCACATTGCAGACATATAATCAATGCACACAGCATCACAGCACCACACATCTATGTACAGCTATCTGTTTCACACAGGTGAAGTAGGGTGAAGTCCACGCAAGCATTCCAACTCATGTTAAAGACTCAAAACACAATCACAGTAGGACCAAAACCATCAGAGGTTTAGAAGCACCAAAGGACCATTTGCACCGAATAGAACCAAGTCAAAACCTGTCTCACACAAATGAGCTAGGATGGAATTCACTCAGGCATAAGGTGATGGTGCTCATCCCTGATGAGTGGGACCACAAAGCAAATCCAGACACAAGTTATCCAGGTCACCCACACAAATATCCAAAAGGAAGCCATAAATGTAGGGGGAGGCACACCAGTTTGCAGTCACTCAACCAAAAGAGGGGTATAAGTGAGTGCATCCAGATGTGTTCTCAGAGACAGAAGAAGGAGGTTAAGGAAAGAGAGAGAAACAAAGGAGGAGGAAGAAGCAAGAGAATGAAGAAGTGGAAAGAGGGGTGGAAAAAGAAAAGAAGAGGTGTGGAACACCAACAAACCAGGACCCAAATCAACCGCTGCCTACCCAGAAGGGGTTAATAGAGATTGGTTTGTTTCCTCACAGCCCCACCAGTCCACAAAACCAATGGGGCCCCAACCCACCCAGCACCAGAGGGAAGACACACCAACCTTCAAACATCAAAACAAAGAGGGTTTGGATGAGTGAAACTTAGTGTGTTTCCAGAGTCAGAAGAAGGGAGAAAAGAGGAGGAAGACCAAGAAGGAGGGAGAAGCAAGAAGAAGGAAGAAGGGGAGATGGGGGGGAAGAAAGAAAAAAAAGAGGGTAAAAATACCCTCCAGCCCTGGATCCAAGCCATTCCCTACCTATCCAGAAGGGGTAGATAAGGTATGGTTTGTTTCCACACCCCAATAGCACCCAAGCTATCAAGAGCCCAACCACCTAGAGGAGGAGCCAAGTCAAACTAACATGTATCAAATCCAAGGAATGATTTAGCTCATATTATTTAACTTGTCTCCTAGAAAAGTGGGGGAGAGGGAAGGTGATGAATAAGAAAAGAAGGGGAGGGGAGGGGGAACAGGAGAGAGAGTGTGAAGAACCCTGGACCCAAGCCAGTCTCTACAATTCCAGAAGGGGATTGCACAGCCTGGTTTGTTTCCCACCAATCCACCCCCAAGGACCCATAACAAGGGTTAGAGACCCTCCAAAGAGGGTTTCTAACATTTGAAATGTTTCGAGCCCCAAAGAATACTGGGCATAGGGATAGCACCAGTTACCCAAAGGGTCCCCAGTGTTAATCCTGTGTCCAGCATCCAACCAAGGTTAACTCCCAACCAATCCTCAACAAGGAAAGGAAGGGTCAGCACAAGGATCACAAGCCACATCCAGGGAGTCCAATCAGTGATATCCATGGGGGGTCTTAAACACCATTGGGATATAACCTGCTCATTATTTTAAAGACCCCGACCTTGATTTTGCACACAATAGCATCAATATTTATGGCCTGATTGTCAAAGTACACACCATTCCTTAATCTCCAAATGTGGTAGGCTGTACTGAGAATAGCCAGTCTTGTCATCTTCCTCCTAGAGCAATGGTTATTCCTAAGTCTCCTTAGCTAGGTAAGGGCTCTGTCTAGGGTAGGCAGGGCAGGGGCAATCTCAAGCCATGATCTGACAGCATTCCAGATGAGTGTGGAGGTTTCACAGCTGAAAAAGAGATGCTTACCAGTTTCCTCCTCCTTGTGGCATAGTTCACATAATCTATTCTCCATATCAATGAAATGAAGGCTAGTTTTGGTAGGAATTCTGTTACGGAAGATCAACCAAGCACAGAAGGAGTATCTGGGTGGGATGTAGGGTTCCCAAATAGCCTTCATCTAGGGTCTCATCACTGCCCTGGTTCTAAGTAAATCATAAACCTTGGTAGCTGATATTTCACCCAGATCACAGAGTTGGTTTTCAAGTTCCCATCTGTCCCCACAATTGAGTAGCAGCAGGTCCCTGATTTCAATCAGTTTCTTGAAAAAATGAGAGTCCTTTTTCCCAGGACTCCAAGTCCAAAAGTCATTCCATCAAGGTAAACAGAGTGAACCCATTGCACCCACAGCGTTTCCTTGTTAGAGGCAATATTCCACAGGTTCTTGCTCAAAAGTGCCTGATTCCAAATAATGGGCTGGTTCAGTGCAAGCCCCCCTTCATCCTTGGGATTGCAGATATCCTCCCAAGCAACCTTACAGAACTTGCTCCCCCAAAGGAAAGTTCTACAAAGGGAGGTTATCCTATCCAAGACAGATTTATGAATAGGGAAAGCTTGGAACCAGAATCCTTCAATTCCTTGGATAACAGATCTGATGAATTCCAATCTTCCAGTAGCAGATAGGGTTTTGGCATTCCATTTTCTGATATGTTCATCCACCTTATTCACAAGTGGGGCAAAGTCTCTTTCAGAAGCTCTCTGTGAGGTAAGAGGTAGTCCCAGGTATCTAACAGGCAGTTTACCCTGAAGGAAAGGCACCAAAGCTAGGATATCCTCTTTCCTGTCTTTGATCTCTCCGGCCAGAAAGATATTGGATTTGAGAGGGTTCACATGCAACCGAGATACTTGGGAGAAAATTTTGATAGCTTTTGCCAAAACATTGACAGAATCCACATTTCCCCTGCAAAACATCATCACATCATCAGCAAAAGTAACATGAGTAATACCCAGTTTAGAACACCTGTTATGGAAAGTGAATCTGTTCCCATAGAGCATTCTCCTGATCAGCCTTGAGAGGTATTCCATGCAGAAAAGAAATAGAGTTAGGGCCATGGGGTCACCCTGTCTAATACCTCTTTTGCATTTAATGAAGACATGCAAGCCTCCATTAATAGACAGTGAGAAGGATGCAGTGGTAACACACTCCATGACCTAGTTCACAAAAGTGGGGGGGGGGGGGGG